ATATATTTTTTGTGACAACAATAAATTGATTTACTATACAAAATTTTAAAAATTTTCCTTTGAAAAACAATTGACAAAAAGAATACCAATAAAGGGAATTGGTGTATATCTCAAATTGATGATATTAGTTTTATATAATTAAACAAAGGTTAAAAATATTACTCGACAAATATTAATTATAATGGATATCAGTAAAATCATTGCATAAATTATTTAAGGAAAAAATCTTTAAGATTATATCTGGATAATAAATGTAAATATGCAAGCATTTAATGCATATAGTAAAAAATTTCCAAATAAGGTATGCATTAAATGTGTTTTGACTTTTCTTGCTACTATTTTTGGTAAATAAGTTGGCTTTTAATATATATATAGATATAGATATTAAAAATTTTATTTTGAAATCAACTTCAGAAGTAACTCTAAATTTTTAGTTAAGACTAAATTTATGCAACTAATATTGAAAATTTAAAATTCAAACAAAATATAATATTTTTTTTTCTAAAAAAAATATTCTTTAATCTTTCATATTATTTTAAATAATTATTTTATAATAGAAAAAATTCAATTGTAGATCAAGTATTACTAAGAATGAAAGTTAAGTGAAGATTAATAGTTATTATTACTATATTATGTAGGATCAAAGGTGACATAAAATTTATTAATAACACATTTAATGTTATATTCGGTTCTTAATTTCGGTTTTTCGGTTCGGTACGTTCTCGGTACGGATATTTATAAAATCTCTAGAACCGTACCGATTATTTTTTCGGTTCGGTACAATTCGAAGAAAGTCAAACGGTCAACAATTATTTTTCAATTCGGAGTGATTTTGGTTCGATTTTCGAAACGGTTCGAAATTCTCCGAATCTCATGGTAAACCGTACTTAAATCTTGGGATATTAAATTAAGTTAAATAATAAATTAGTGATCTTAAATCTTAATTATTTTTTTTTTTTATAAAAGGGACGGATATAAAAATCTTAGGGCTGGACACGGCAAAACTTCAGAAACTCACACAGTCTCTCAGACATTTCAATCGCCTCCTTCATCACTTGAGAGTTCACAATTTCAGATCGCCTAACCTTCACGCACGGCTTCAAGCCTTCACCGACTCACCTTCGCCTCACCTTCATCACTTCAGAGTTCAATCGTTCATCAACCGTTCACCTCACCTTCACTTCAGATCGCATCCTTCACCGACACACCTTCACGGCTTCACCGACTCACCTTCGCGTCAGCCGTGGTTCAGGTAATTTTCTTCAAACCATATAATTATCTTCAATTTTGTTCTCAAAGGAAACACAACAATCAAAACCGGGATGTGGGCACTCTGAACTTTGTCTGTAACTCTGTTTCATTCCATGGCATTTTTTTTTTTTTTACTCTGTTGTCTGTATTCTGTAACTCTGTTTCATTCCATTTTAACTCTGTTTTCTCGGTTCGGTTTCGGTTTACATATTAGTGAAACCGAATGTGTTCGTTTCGGTATCGGTATGAAGTTACCGGTTCGGTTACCAAACTACCGAACCAAACCGATACCGGCCCTAGTTGATTTTATTTTGGGGTTTTATCAAGGGAAAGTTCAATAGGAAGGCTTTATAGTTAGGTATTTAACAATGCACCTGCACGGCGTGAAATCAATTATATTAAGTATTAAATAAAGTAAATATATAATATAAAATAAATTATTATAGTTATAAAATAATATTTTATACACACATTAGATGTCAAGCACTCTTCTAACTCGTCATTTTTATATAATAATTAGTATCCGACCAGTGCATTTGCATAAATGTAAATGAAGTATTATAAGTTATTTATATGCATATAATATTGAGATTATAAGTTAGATAATAATATTAAATTTTAAATATAGAGTATTATAAGTTATATTTATGAATATTATATTAAAGTTACAATTTAGATAATGATATTATGTTTTAAAATTTGATTACTGATTAATTAAATAGTGCATAACTATTTGATTGCATATGAATACTATATTGATTGCATATTTGCATAATGTAATATTTGTAATTTGGAGATAACATGACCATGCTGAAAAATATAAAATTTATTATAAAAATTGTTTATGCGATTTTACTATGACTTTAAAAGAAGTTAATTCATTTAAAAAATAATCGCTCAATCAGATAAAAAAATATAATATTGATTTAGAATAAATAACTTGAACAACAAGTTTTACAATATAATTTTTTATGTTTATGTAACTTTCATATATCATTTAGTGGAAAATGTAATTATTAATTATTATAATAATATTTATTATAATGATACAATAAAAAAATATAATTATTAGGCAATTAATATAAAATATAATAGTTTTTGTTTTAATTTACAGAATTATTTTTGGAAAATTAGATCACGTAGGTACAATGTATGAGGTAAAATTTATGGAGTTTTTATTTAATGTATTGCTAGCAATTATATATATACATATATATATATATAGATAGATATATATTTTTTTTCAATTAGGTCGTTTTTAAAATTAACTTGTATAACTCATTATGCCCGAGTTTTCAATAACACATGCACATATTAAACTCAAATATTATCGTAACATACAACTTAATAAACATGATTAAAAAAATATATATAAACTTAATTTTTTTAACAAATATGTATTGAACTAAACGAAAATCAAATGTCAATTTAAACTCAATCACACATGACATAGCCTAAAATCAAATTTAACATAACATAAAACAAACTAAACAGCCAACATTTTATCCTATCTTGTTTCATGTTAAACCATAAAACTTAATTTCCTATATTGATTTAAAATTTCACAAACAATGTATAACTTAATTTCCTATATTGATTTAAAAATTAAAAAACAAATCATTAGTTTTATGATCAACCCTTGAGTCCTACATAAAATCCACAGCTGCGGCCCGCTAAAATTCTCATAACACTGTCCGCCGTCGCCGGTATGGGAGAAGCTACAAAGTACACTCTGCCGGAAACCGTCCGTTCGATCGTGTTTAAGGAATCCGAGAGTTTGGATGGCGCGTACCCCAAAATCGAGGGCTACGATTTCAACAAGGGCGTCAATTACGACGAGCTTTTCAAGTCCTTCGTTCGAACTGGATTTCAGGCCTCCAACCTTGGCGATGCGTTTCAGATAGTTAATGAAATGGTTTGTTCTTTCTCAACTGGGTTGTATCTCTCTCAACTCATCGTTATGAACTTCATAAGTTGTATTAGGATGTCGATTTCATTTGAATGATTTACCATGTGTTTGGATTAAACTTGGGCTGGTGGTTTGAAGGAGGGCCTAGTTTTTGTGTTGAAATTTTTAAATCTGTTGATTGTTCAGGCGATAAGAAAGGGACCGGGATGTAGAAATGTTGAATGGAACCTGTGGCTGGGCCTTAATTTGGAAATTTGGTGAAATGCCATTTTCTTATTGTCTCTGTTAAAAAAATGCCACTTTTGTCTATACGACCAAAATAAAATGACGGAAACCAACTGTTATTACTGCTGAAAGAGCATTTCTTGCAAAGAGGAAGTGGAAAGGACATTTGTTTTATGAATTATCACTTTCTGGGGTTTTGACATGCCGAAAACCTTAACTTTCTATTGTTCCTATTTTACAAACTTCGATTTGCTCTTTCTTTTTGTTCTAATCCAAGGGCTGTCGAGCTCACTACATGAATTATTTAGTTTATAGGCCCTGAATATGTTTTGGTTTCGTCACTATTGTTTATACTGTGGATGAAGCTAGATTGGAGGCTCTCGGATGAGACTCCCGCAGAAGATTGCAGTGAAGAGGAGAGGGATGCTGCTTATCGAAATTCGGTGAGGTGTAAAGTGTTTCTTGGCTTTACTTCTAATCTCATCTCCTCTGGTGTTCGTGAGCATCTCTGTTATCTTGTGCAGCATCGCATGGTGAGTGGCTCTAGAAACCAATTTGCTTGATTTTTAGAAAATTTTAGATAAAATGATGTATCAAGGACTGCTGTTATTTCAACTATGTGTTATCAACATGTATTTACTGATTTTAATACTGCTTGTATTACATGAAATTGAAGTGGAAGATTCAGAAGCTAGAATTAGGATTGTGAACATATAGATGAAGGAACCACTGTTTTTGTGATATTTAATCTTGTATTTTATTTTTGTTATTTATTTTTACTCAAATTTTTGAGAAATTAATTATCAGCTTTTGATGTTGTGTTACTTCATGTGATAATCTTATCTAAATCTCAGATAAGCGCTTAACATGCTTGATTTAAGTTGTGATTTTGAGAGAGATCGCGCGCAGCTGGGAATAAATCAGTAAATCATGGAGAGTATATTGAAGAATAAATAATAGTTAAGCAACTAAGAGAAGGAATATAAATCTATTTGGGATGATGTTGGGATTTGGATTGATTGTCTTTTGAAGTTCTTTGTTTCCTTGCTTCTGTTATTATTTATAAAATTTTATAATTATGCCTATTTAATATAAAAATAAAGTCTATAGTAGATGAAGGTAGGCAAAATAGAATTAGATTGTAATAGGTTTGACTATTGGGCAAGATCAGTTTTTCCTGGGCAAAACCATTCTGCTTGGAAGCTTTCAAGTTTTTTGTTTCTATTTATCAGTAATAAAATTTCATATTTCATTCTCTCTACTCTTTAATCCTATTAGATAGATTTCCTGATTAAAAAAAAAAGGCTCGGCTCAAGTTGTTTGACATGCCTGCAGGTTGATGTAGTGGTAACAACGGCTGGTGGTGTAGAGGAGGACCTTGTGAAGTGTCTTGCACCTACCTACAGAGGTGATTTTTCTCTGCCTGGTGGTGTTCTTAGGTCGAAAGGTCTGAACCGCATTGGTAACTTGTTGGTTCCTAATGACAACTACTGTAAGTTTGAGGATTGGATCATCCCAATTTTTGATCAGATGTTAGAGGAGCAAAATTCACAGGTATTCAATCTTATCTGGTATGACATTTCACTTGATCTTTTGATTTGGATAATTAAGTACTTAATTGGGATGTTAGTTGACCTATACCATGGCAATTTATATCTTCTCAAATTAACGTGGATGAGATTATTAAATCTTGCTGTGAATAAAAAGATTACGCTTTTTAGTTCTGGTCTAGTATCTCAAAAGTAAAATTTGTTAAGTTGAGTAACATAGTGACCATATATCATGCAGTTTGGGTATGCATGGATAGTGATGCAGTTTTGTGCCATGATTACTTTTAATGGTACTCAGTATAATTGTATCCTGATTGTCGTGAAAAATGTACTAGCTTGATCCCTGATGTCCAAGAACCAATCCTTGGCATTATGTTTATAAACTATTCACCCTCATTACAGGAAGGAATAGATAATAGTATGCGTTGATGTCAGGAAATGGGTCGTGTTCTATTGATTATTTTGATATGATTCTAGCTCCAAGCTGAAAAGGCATTGCATCTCATATGAATCTCATTAGTAGTGAAACTGAACTGCTCGTGATGGTTATATTGCATGGCCTCTTTCTTTGGGTGTGTGTGTGTTTGTGTATGTTTTGTTCTGCTTGCATATTTCGTTGGATGTAGTTCTGAAAAGATGCTTCTTCAGTGATCTACACTTTTGTTTCCCATTTATGGCATTTCAGATATTTTTAATTATAAATTCACGTAAATTGTTTAGGCTTTGCTGTATATATTCCTTCAACTGAAGGGGTTCAACTTGGATTCTTGTATTATTTCCTTAAGTTTATGTTGCAGAATGTACTATGGACACCATCTAAAGTAATTGCTCGCCTGGGGAAAGAAATCAATAATAAGAGTTCATACCTGTATTGGGCATTCAAGGTACATGTTCTAGCTCATATTTTCTTGTAGTTCTGATCTCTTTGTACATCTCATTTTACAGTAACAAGCCTCAACGATGCCAATTTAGTTGAAGGTTTTATTTGAAATTAGAATATTCAACCACTTAGGTCATTTTGTTTCTTAAACTAACAGATATTTAACTATCAAAGGAATATTTCTTTTAATACAAATATAAGGATTTGTTTTACTTTACCCATTTGTTGTTGTTGTTTTTTTAATTAAAAAAAAAAAATCTTTAAGAAAATCAAGTCCACTTCGGGTATTTGTTGAACTTTACAGTACATCAGTATCAGACTGAATGTTATTTACGTTGACTTAGTCTTCTGTTTTCCCTTGGTTTTGGATTTCACTCAACAAATGTGTTAACTTGAGGGTGACGGGGCTTATTGCTATTAACTCTGCTGTCTGTTAATAATTTAGGCTCTCAAGTTCTTGGAAAGGAGAAGTTGTGCTTCATCATTGCATATGATTGAACAATGTTTATTGCTGGATTTCATTAAGCGTGATTGACTGAATGGTGTGATTAGTTGTGCCTTATTATGACAGTCACACCTTCTTTTAAATCGAAGGAGCTCTTTTTGTTTCGTTTCTATTCATAAGAATGGTTTTTAAATTAAAGCATTACGGGAATATTTTTGTGATAAAATATTTATTACCTGGAAGTTGGAGAAGTAAATGGTCAATAGCTGGTTACCAGGGGATATTTACTTTCTAAACTTGGATCGATTATACAATGCTTCGGGACTTAACCAACTCTATAATTGATATTAATTAACGAAAATGATCCTCTGTAATCATTATACAGGACTGTATGATGATGGAAAGACCATTTGATGTATTAATTGATTTAAACTGATGGATTTCTATTAGATGGGGGAGTCCAAGTTATGTTTGAAGTTACAATTGAGCTTTTTGACATGTAATATTTCAATAATATGAGAATTCCCCCGTCATCAATGCAGAACAATATCCCGGTTTTCTGCCCCGGCTTAACAGATGGTTCACTCGGAGACATGTTGTACTTCCACTCATACAAAAACCCTGGTTTGGTGATCGATATCGTGCAAGGTACACACATAACAATCCATATAAAACCATCCCTTTTTTCCAATTTACATGACTAGGACTCTGCATAGATCTCTTTACATGTGCATAGATATTAGAGCAATGAACAGTGAGGCTGTCCACGCTGGCCCAAGAAAGACTGGGATGATAATACTCGGAGGCGGGCTGCCCAAACATCATATTTGCAATGCGAATATGATGCGAAATGGAGCCGATTATGCGGTTTTTATCAACACTGCACAAGAATTCGACGGGAGTGACTCGGGGGCCCGCCCAGATGAAGCCGTGTCATGGGGAAAAATTCGAGGTTCTGCTAAGACTGTCAAGGTTTGAGAATTTCATTATTATTTATTACTTATTTAGCATAATTGCTATTATTTTCTTGCTAAATTCATTCCGTACCTGCTTTTGGTTATTTTATCCAAGCAGGTGCATTGTGATGCAAGCATTGCATTCCCTATGCTGGTTGCGCAAACATTTGCTTCGAAGATAGAGAAATATACTCAGACGCGTTCTTGATTGAAATTTTGAGGGATTATTCGGCCCGTGAACTTCAACCGGTTGAGGATTTACTGGAATAGTGTTACTGGCTTGTGTACTCAAAATGTTTTGAGTTATTGTAACGTGTTGGATTTATGTAGACTGATGGTTTGATAATTTAGATACGGCGAAGGAACTATCAGCCGAGCAGGTGCTGCAATAAATTGTACTGTTGAAAAAGATTATTAATGACTCATATGATACTAAGTGACGAGTTGTGTTTTCAATTGCAGTAGCTTACAAGTAGAAGCTTTTACTTTTTAAGTTTTAATTAATTTTTTTTTTTTTTTTTTTTTTTTTTTTTTTTTTTTTTTTAATTAAAAAACTGCTGGATATGTGCCCTTCAGTGCCTTTCTTGAGATGGCAACTTTTTCAGAGTTATTAGCCCGCCAATATGCAACTCTTCAGTAACATGATAAACATCACGGTACAATTAAGGGCTTAAAAAACTGAAACTAATTAAGGGCTTAAAATTTGAAAGAAAAACAGAAATGAAGCAAATTGAAACGAGACACCCTTCTTTAGTAGACGAACTCGTGATTGGGAACACCATGTGTGGATGGTTCGACTTATGGAGTAATCTATAGTTATTTACAAATAGTGTATTGACACGTTTCCTACAATATACAGTGGACATGTGTCAATACATTAACCGATCGATGGCTCCATACGAAAACCATCCGATGGCTCCATAGAATTTTTCCGCTACATATATGCCCACAAAGATCACTAGACACGATTAATGCAATATTCATCCTTCAAATTCAGTAAGTCAGACAAATATAATCAGTTGTCGTGTTAATAGTCTCATCTTACCTTTTATCAGGTGAATAACATTTTTTCAAGTAGTTCATCCAATAAGCTACCATCACCAATGGTTTCAATTAAGTATATTCTACAAGAAGTCATCGATAAGAAATTATAACAGAAACTTTATTCTTTCAATTAAATAGGAAACGAACTATAAACCAATGTTTATCAAACTGTCATACATGGACAGCTTGAATTAGTAGTACGTTCAACAAATGCTCTGAATCAAATCAATCTCTCTTTTTACAACACTCACATCACTGCAGGAAGCAATTACATTCTGAACGCGACACCTCAACAGGTTGATAATCTCTTCGCTTGGCACGAAACTCTTATAGAAATCAATGAAAAGAACTTGGCACCATATTATAATATGTAAAGCTATCAATGCTCGTGTCTTTATCTATTAAAAGAACCAGGTCACATGCAAGAAGGAATAGTACATCAGCAAAATACAGGAGGCCACAAAGCTTTTCAAGAGCGATTTATCCGAAGTGATTGAAACAGAGTATCATAGTCGGGAAGTTTGGGATGAACATGACTAGCTTTCTTGGGACTGTCGACTTTACCTGAAGAAGTATTTTCACTACCAATTGGTGCCTGTTCCTTTGGTTTGTAGCCTGACGGCTCTGCAAATATAGACGATTTCTGAGAGAACTTGGACTGTTGCATTGATGTCGAAGTTCCCAAAAAAGTCGAATTTGTAGGTTTAGAAGCCAATTTCACCGAGGTAGTATGATCTGAGTTTCCGGACAGACTAGATTTCTTCTGTGTCTCGAAATCTTGCCGAATTTCAGGGGAGAAAGAGTTTTCTGGTTTTCTTCTATGGCTAGAGTCAATATCATGAGCTTCAAGCTCCTGCTTAGTCACAGAAGAAGCTTTTGATCGGCTGGGATGCTCAGAAGGTCCCTGGAAACTCGACTTAGTGGATGTAGGCTTAGGTTGCTTGTGAGAATCTGTCTTGGGAGTAGAAGGTGAAGCTTTTGTTCTTCGAGATATCCCACTTCGTACATGACTTTTCCCAGTAAGGGACTCCTTTGGAACATAATCATCCAAATCGCTGTTGTCTGAACCGAAAAACAGGTTTGGCTTTGTCTTAACTTCCTTCACCTCCTTTTTGTCACGAGAACTCCTTTGCGGCAACTCTTCCTCAGAAGTATCATCATCAGGATCTGAGTGAAAAACCTGCGTTGAGATTTTATTTTGATCTAATGTTGTGCCTATCTCAGGCTCCTCAGCGGAGCTGGAAATATTCTGAGACTTTTTCCTGTCAGATGACGGCACATTCAGTCGATTCTTGATGAAAGACAGTTGGTTGCGATGACCTTTATGGCGAAAGCCGCCGGTCAGGTTTCCAAAGTTCAACCTCTCTACTCTTTCTGAATTGGAGTCATCGTCAATTTCATTGGACTCTGTCCAAGATTGTTTTGGTACCGATGCAGACTGATTAGCGTCAGGCTTGATAAATCGGAGCTTTAGTGAAGAATCTTCATCAGATACACTATCCTGACCTCTGTTTTTCCGGCGTATGTCCATGGATGGGCTCAATTCATCATCTGAGGAGAGCGGCAGATCGTTGCTACTGAACAGTGAGCTATCTCTGTGCTCAAATGATGATTTAACAGTCCCCCCTTCATTCTGTTTATGCATATCTGCATAATCATACACAGTACGGTGCCCAGTGTTCTTCGTATCATCATCGCTATTGGAAATTGGCCCATCGGACTCATCAAAAATAACATGCGTAGAATCAAGCCCCAGGTCATTTCTCAATTCCGTGCTCTCAGAAATATCGGGGGACAATTTTTCTCCAGTGAAAAATAACGACGACGTAGAGTTCACTATTTTGCTCGAGCTATCAACAGCAGGACTCCAAGAATCTGCGATTGCAGGCACCCTATCCGACAATTTCCTGCCTCTGGACGGCAAGTGAAAGTCTAATTCCTCCGGCTCATCATATGTGGGGCCCAAGTCAAACCTTCCGTCATCGGTATCCGAATCATACTTGTCGAAGAACAAAGCAGCGGTTTCATGGGTGTTCGCCTTAGGGGCTTCTCCACCCACAAACGGGGCACTCTCACTAGAATCGTTTTCAACATTTTTGTAGTCAGAATTTGAAAAAATATTCACATCATCTTCCGAAATGCTAGAGTGAGAATGAGAAGATTTTGTACTGTGTCGTTTCTCGGTCCTTTTTTCTTCAAAATTCTCGGCTTTCTCTGGCCAGTTGTTTGCAGTTTCTGTCTCATAACTGAAAGAAGGTTTCTCTATCTTCGTGCCATCATTAGACACCCCCTTCAAGGAGTTCTTCTGGGAATACTTGCCTCCTGAACCTTTAGGATTTGAAGAAAATGATTGAATATGTTGCTGTGAACTACCAGCACCATCCTCTTTGAATGTTGTAGCTGTCTTAAGATCATTGACCTTAACCCCATCTGTTTGCTGCACATTCTGTAGCCTAGTAGCATGTTCAGCAGAGGATATGTCACTGGATGAATAGGAAAAATTTGATTGCGGGGGTTCTTCGTACTTTGAAGTATCAACATCAGAATTGTCCAATTCTGTAGAGTACTGTCTCATAATACGACTGTGGCTTGAAAGCTCTGCAGCAGCTCTAGCAGCCATACTAGCTCGTTCTGCTGACTCAGCAGCTGCCTGTGCTGCTGACTTGGCATCCTTGAATTCCATGTTCCACCTGCGTCCATCCAGAGGGTACATATTGCTATCTTTTCGTGATCCTTCATCCCCTGGTGCTGGGAAAAAAAGATATATATAAATAAACATAATAATACTATATGAAGTACTAGAATAACAATCCGTAACACACTCGATTAGCAGTACTACATACCTGGAGGCCTTGATTCAGATTGGTACAATGAGGTGGAACCAGAAGATTGGGCAAAACTGAGCTTTTCTGAGGTTCTATCCTCCTGCTGGCCAAAATTCGATGGTGAACTATGAGGCATTAGATTGTTGGTTGGGCGCACTAGGACTTGTGCTGGAGGTTCAGGAAGCTGTTCACCCAATTTTCCAAAGGAACTTGGTCCACTCTGTTTAAAAAGAAAAATCACATATATGACAAAATGCTTGTAGAATCAGCCATAGAAAATTATCCAAATTATCCAGATCAAGTAAACCATACCAGGCGGTCATCAAGAGGACCAGGGTCTTTCTCCCCAAACGACTTGGGCTCCCATTTGACATTGTGCTCTTCTGCTATCGTGGTCAGGATTTTTGTTTTGGTCTGTCCATCAGGAGCCGTTGCAGATAATTTCTCAACCAACTGCAGGGCATTAAAAAACTTGAGGAAGACGACTATCAACAAAATTATTATGCTACTAATAAAAGTCAATGCTTGGTCACTCTCCTTAGCATGCACATTTTCAAGTGCTAATATATATATTATATACCATGCGACCCACACCGCATTGTGGACGAAGTTCTATGGCTGCAGTGGTGAAGTCTTTCCCATATTTAGCTGTAAACTGCTTCCTCACGTCAAGAAGTTCCGGCACGTCTCCACATCTTGGTGCCGCAAATACTAAACTTGCAATTGCTTCCTTCAAGTCAATGGGACAATTCCTATAGAGATAATTGGAGAACACATGAGGACTTCCATACTTAATACCAAAAAGATTTAAAAGGACTCTAGAATGCATGGAATACGCACTTCTGTGACTCAATTATTGGAAGGCGTGCAATGATGAGTTCACAGTAGATCTCAAGAAGATCATATGCAGCCATCATCTTCTCTTCCCTAGTCACATGCTCAACCTGTAAATTTATATGGTGACACAAACGTTCAATTGATTGTAAAACGCATGTCAGGATAAAAGTGATACCAGAACAAGAGAAGATAGCAGTTCCAAATGTTGGCATAAAATGAAACCAAAACGAAATGTATAAAATTATGTTTCAAGGCCCTTCTCTCCATGTTCGCGTAAAAATTAACCAACTATTATAGTATTATTACTACTATAGAACAACTGCAAGTCTGCAGCCACAATGAACTCCACCAAATCAATAATACTTGCAGGAAGAAAGACCCTAGGTTACAACCCCAGATCATAAGTGAGCAGAAAAACCACAACCAGAAACCATAGGTGATAGATATATATTTCAAATCATGATTATACTAAAACAGTAATACTTCAGTAACATGCAAGGTAAGCATTTTTGGAAAGATTATTTTCCAATTTCACATGACCAAAGCAACATAATAAAAAAGCCTAAACTCTACCTTATATTGGCTACACCTAGTACGCAGATCCAGTAAGCAGGAACTGGCATATACTTATATTATTACATACTTTGAAATAAAATTTTATGGCTGAAGCTCACATGATCATTCGAGTCTGTACTAGCTTTCATCAAGGCCCTACATTGCAAAAAACATACACATCCAATATGAGGCTAAATGCATAGATTATTGCAGTTGTACTGGAAAAAACTTCTGTTGGGCCGAAAAGGTAAAATGGATACGTCTGCATTCAATTTTCATCGAGCCTTTACATATATCTCGTGGAGTAATGCTTTAGGCACAACCTAACGAGTAACATGATAAACCACAATAATACACTTTCAAAACTGTTCTCACTATGATGATATGATCTTTCATACATGCATACGGACGTAACATTTTGCCCAGAACTCAGAAAATTAAGTACTTGGTGGACCATCAACACCATTCATAGTTCCAACAGAAACTCTCCCTTTCCCATGTGTACCTACCTCTCGACATTTACTTTCGTACCAGTATGTTTTTCTGACAATTAGGAAACATGCCACACAAACACATTATCTTGAGTTTAGTCAACCAATGTTTTAAAATTTATTGACCAAAGAACACCAAAAAGAGAAATTAACATATAGCCAAGTCCCTAATCTCGAAAAATAAAAGAAATCATTCAAGTTTCCTTAAGTCAACTGGTTATCAATCCTTTCTCAAACTGACTTACTGACCTCTTCAACACACTAGAGGTTACAGTTTAAAATTTTAATAATAACCTTTTTCTTCTTCTGTTTCTCATTGAGAAATATATTTATTGTAGATATTAGCATAAACAGAAGATTTATTTTCTAGGTTCACCAAACGGTGATTTACTAACATGGTTCATTTTCTCCTCCAGTACTCCTAATTGCAGTTGTCAACTTACAGCTTCTTAGTCAGGCTTCATTGCATTAGCATGGTCGGATATTAAGGGATTCCCTATCTAGTATCCCCATTCCTCGATAAGCAGAAGAAAATATTCTTATAACCCTCGTCACTTATAAGTGATCCAACCAAATGACTACTTTCTAAGCCAAAACAATCTAAGGCTGAGATTGAGTTTTCTCCCGACACCTCTCCCCCGGAACATGTTTCTACAGATTATGGAAGTCATAGGATCAATATCGCATTCAATCAACAAATTTGCAGCTCATTAATATCCCTTAACAATAACAGCTACCGATCACAAGAGATTCACTAAATCATGAAATTCCCCTTCACGTTACCCGTTCCCATAATCAAAACCAGGACACATTATTACATTACAACTACATTAAATTCATCCATCTCAACAAATCTATCCGGTTCAAATAGCATGTAATATACCCGAATTTGAGCCGTCTGATCCTGTCCGGACTCAAGCAACTGTGCTATTTCCCGCCTCATCTGCTTCACCTGCACCTCCTTCTTGTTCCTCAACAACTTGAACCTTGAACTCCCCAGCCTCAGCGACGTCTTGCTGCATCAAATTCAACAACAGAACAAAGAAAAAAAAACTCAAAACAATCAACTAAAATAACATAAACAAGTGAATAGACACAGAATAACAGATTTTGAATCGCAGTTTTGAACGCCTGAAGTAACTCGAGAAAGTACCATTTGGCAGGATTGAAGCTCCTAGAGAGCAAATCCTTCGAGTTCTGCAAAAGCTTCGATTTCTTCATTGCTGATCCAAATTCTGCAACCTTTTTGCACACAAATTGCAAAAAAAAAAAAAA